GTGCGTGTGCAGTTTGTACCCTCTGAGCATTCTGGAAATGGGTCGGTGGGCTTGGGGGTCACTGGGGAGCTGCTCCCCCCTCCCTGCAGGCATGACTGCTGTCTGACCCTTCCTCTTGGCGCACACGTTGTGAAAACAGCCTCTACACAGGCTCTTCACAGAGTCACTCAAGACAGGGAAGTCCATGCTTGGAAAGGTGCAGTCTCACCTCTGTGGGACCCTCTCTTCTCACCACATCATCCCGTCGCAGCTCCAGCATTTCCCTAGAGACCATTTCCTTTACCAAAGTTCTCTCTTGGATGTTTGAGACATTAGCTGTGATTTCCTTGGACTGTCACACCTGGGGAGATAATAGTTGGAGCTGTAGACATGCTCGATGTAAGAAGCATTACCAGAGCACTTCATGCAGCTTTAGGTGGCTTTTGATGGCTGAAAGCTGCCCACAGTATGAATGTGTATATATGAGCAAGGACGGAGGAAAATGAAAGGCACCTTACCTTGAGATTGTTTGAGCTAGGTATTGACAAATGCTTCTCCCCTTCCACACAGTCCTTTGTTTGGGATTGTGGTTTGAATCCAGTAGAGCTGGAGCACTGTTGGAAGGCCCCATCTTTTTATACGTGCTGTTCTTTCAGAAAGGAGTTGGGTTGTTGACATGCCCTGGAAATTGCTACTTGAAAACCCAACATCTTTGGTTTGGATGTTTAGGGATTTAAATCCCCACAGGACCAACAAGAACATGGGCAATGTGTTAGAGTCTCCAGTTGCTGATGAGTGAGCTTCCTGACTCGGTAATGCTCTTAATGTCTCAGCTCAGTCTGATCCTAGGGAGTAGTTGCATTTCAGATAACCACACTTGCTCCCTTTTACCTTTATTTCATTAAAACATTATTCTGTGTATTCCACTCTAAGGCAGCTGAACAATTTGTATAATTTTTCTGCCTAGAGCACTAAATGGGTTTGACCTGTATCCTTAACACTGACTACACTCAGGACACAATGGTCCATTCTGGAGCCCTTTACATGTTAAGACCCTCTCTTTAACTGATGGGGACTAATTAAGAATTAAATATTCAGTGCTGCTTGTGAGAAAACAAACTTCTGGTCTCAGTTCATATATTATCACAGTTGGATAAACCATCAGATCTCTGCTGCAGTACTTCACCTTTCCTTTGGTTACCTATACTTTTTTTTTTTTTTTTAAGTATTATTATTCTTTCTAAACCCAAGCACAGGAGAAACACAAAAGAAGAGGTTTTAGTTATTTGTTTCAAAGTGACTGTAACAACCCTTTTATTATTTAAATTCCTTCAGCTCCCTTTTGTGGGTTTGTTATTTCATCTACCCGACACTTATGATGGAGATTTCTGCTGGTGCAGTTTGAGAAGAGCAGCACTACCTTTTTTTGGTTAAGAGGGTTTTAGTCTTGATGGAAGCGTAGTGATGTGTCCTCGCTGCCAAAGCTGTGGTGCCATCATGTGGCCGTCTGGTCAGGTACAGGTTTTAATGTCTCAGCACCACGATGTGTGCATTTCTTCAGGAGCACTGACGACTTTGGCTTGCTTTTTTCTTTCTTACCTGTGTCGAAGTGTCTTGGCCCTCCTCTTGGGCACAAAGCTGGTTTCAGTATCGTTCAGGAGCAGCACAGTATGGCAGAACTTCTCTCCTTACCTGAAATTAAGGAAACTCCTGGTGGCCTCCTTCCTGATCCACCTTCAAGATCTACCTAGAACTGTTGAGTTTGGTCATAATTCTGTAGCAAAGGCCCTCCTGACTGGGAGGCGCATCCAATGCACATGCTCAAGATGGTTTTGCAGGTGAGCTGCTGATGAGCCTTCAGAGGAGAAACTGCATTTACACTGCAGACTTGCAGACTGTTGAGTGGCTGTTGGACTGGGCTCCTGAAGCCTGAGCTCCTGTGCTGTTCTGTGCGTCAATTTATATACCAGGGACTTGAAAGGATCTTGCATCTGAAATGGGGTTCTGGAATCGCAGTTGCTGCCCAACCTAGCCCAGGGGGGTAGCACATCCCGTGGCTGTCAGAAATGCCTTGGTGCTTTTTTGTCTGTGAAGAAGCAGGTGGTACATGCTGGCCTGTACCTCTTCTATATGCAGCCAGGTTTTGATATGACTTGCAAGCTGCATTGCTTGAAGAAAAGTTGTTTTCCAAGAAAAGCACCTGTCGGAAGCCAGCCCGCAGTTTGTCTGAATATTTTCCTCTCCCAGGCAATAGCTGCAGCCCTGCTGCCCAGGTACTAGCTCAGCAATGGGGTGCAAACCAGGAACACGCTGCCAAAGGGCCATAGTCTTGTCAAATAGCTGGATGCATCATTTCCTCTGGCATAATGGGAACAAGATAGTTCTGCAGTAGCTTGCTCGGAGGGGTGATCACAGCCATTTGGCTCTAAAACAAGCTTCTCTTATGCCCAAGACCCTAGCAGTGACTATGGAGTGGTGGATAATCATGGGAAGAGCCTAAGGATACAGGAATGCAGTGATCTTTCTATTCTCATCTGCTGGCATTTAATAGGGACTTTCTGACCTTAGAGGTTCACCTAGTGATGGACCTTTTTCAGTCTGATGGATATGTCCATCTACTCTCAGCTCATGCATTCCTTTCCTTTTTGTTATCTTCACTGCAGGTTAGACCACATCTGGGGATTTTCACCCCCACAGCACTTACTGTCTCATCTAGTTAACACAAGCTGAGGTAAATGCAATTTCAAGCATGAGCTGCCAAGAGGGCTGGTGTTTGAGACACTGTTCCTGCTCAGTGTTTCTGTCATGGTTTGAGTTCAGAGGGCAACTGAGCACCACACAGCCACTCAGTCCTCCCTTCTTTCCCAGTGATGAGAAAGGACAAATAAGCCAGGCTTGGGATTTGAGATAGGACCAGGAGGGGCAGATCACCCATTATGATCATGGGCAAAAGGCAGACTTGTTAGGGGAAGGAAAAAAACATACATTTATTACAGGTACTAACAACAACACTTAACAGAGTAGGACAGTGAGAAGCATTGCCACATCCTGAGAACACCTTCCCCCCACCCCTCCCTTCTTCCCAAGCTCAGCTCTGCTCCCGATATCTCTACCTCCTCCCCACAGGGGCAGGGAATGGGGGGTGCAGTCAGTGCTGCCACTTCTTCCATCTTTGGTGGGGGGAGCTTCTGGAAGTTCTTTCCCCTGCTCCATCGTGGTCCCCCTCTCACAGGAGACAGTCTTCCACAAAGTCTGCAACGTGAGTCCTTCCCACGGGCTGCAGCGTTTCCTTACACTCCTCTGGTGTGGACACCAACTTCCTCCGACTGGAGTCCCTCCCACGGCTGCAGCCCTTCCCGAGCTGCTCCAGCGTGGGACACTCCCGTATGCTGCAATCCTCCCAGCGCTGAACTACAACAGTGGGGCTATTTTTTCCCACAAGATCCCAGCTTCCTTTGGGCATGGTCACCTTGATCATCCATGCGAAACACCTCACAGGCCATAAATCAGTGTCTGCTCCACCATAGATCTCCATGGGTGGCAGGGGGGGGCTGCCCTCCCTTCTCACCACAGGATACAGGGGGGTCTCTGCTCCGGCACACCTCCCCCCTCCTTTCTTCCTCCGTTCCTCCACTGACCTTGGTGTTCACGCAGCTGCAGCAACTCCTCCTCACAAGTCCGACTGCCCGTCACCACGTCCCTTCTTAAATACATTATTGCAGAGGTGCAGCCGATTGGCTCAATTTCCCAAACAGAAGTGGAGCTGGCTTGGAGCTGGGGGAGCTTCGAGAAGCTTCTCACAGGGGGCCACCCCTATACCCCCTTCCCCTGCTACCAAAAAAATTCACCACTCACTCAAACCCAGGACAGTTTCTTATTTAATAAGTAGCTCTCCTTGTAAACAGACAAGTCACTTGGTTACCTAACACCCAGGTGACTTGCAGCCAATCGAAGCAAGGTCCTGTGATGGCCCTCAGGTTTGTAATGCCTGGGTAGCTCAGAAATCCAAGTCTGCCCTCAGCAGATGAAATCTCTGATAGCACCTCCTTTACTTGCCCGGTTTGGATGGAGGTGCAGTACTGGGCAGCCTTGGACAACAACTGTCCTCTTCAGGCTGGGCGCCACAGGGAGGCTCAGACTGCCACCGTGTTCGAGCAGGATGCCACGTTCTTGGGAGGAATCTCGCTACTGCTGCCTCTGCCCTGTGAGGAGCCAGCCAAGTTTTGAGGGTGGAGGGCAGTGTCTGGTTTATTTGCAGACTCAAGGTTCACCACCCGTGGAAGAGCAACTGAATTGACGAGAGGAGGGCCCTGTGGCAGCCTAGGGCATCACTTTTGATCAGCCATGATGCTGTTTTTTTTTTCTCTGTGAACCAACTAGCAAAAGCATTCAATCTCAACAGAGACAAGCCAGGGCAGGTCAGGAGTCTCTAAATTAATTTGTACCTCTGTGCTCTGAAGTGTCATCAGACTTTTCCTGTCAGAAGAATATTTCCAACTTGCCCAGTTGCTAAAGTAATTGAGAAGAAAGCAGCCTGCCTCACCTCCCAGCTGGACTCTAATCGCTCATCCAAAAAAACAGGCTTCAAGGGCAAGGGGAAAGGTTTAGGATGCAATTTCCCTTTCTCTTACAGGCTGAAACTCAGAAGTGAAAGTACTGTCACAGTGGTGAGTATCAACATCCAGTTCTTAAGTGCTTTTCCTGTTTGTGTGTGTACTTGTGTTGCTGTAGCTGCTCAGGAAATGAGTCACTTGCTCCTGGGACTTGGCGTGTAGGGAAGGCTCTCCACAAATGAGGGGTGCAGCTCGTGGTATGGAGCGGACTGATCTGCCGTCAGCTCCTCTAGCAGAATCGATCTCACGGGGGAGTTGCCGGCAGTGTTTGATCAGCGCCCAGGGCTGCTTCATCCTGCAACGATGCTTCTGCAGAAGTTGTCCACCACCGCAGCTCCTCAGCCCACCGCCTGGGCTGACTCATGGAGTGCTGGGCCTGGGTCCTTAAGTCCTTAACTGTGCTTGCTAGCAGTAAGTCAGTCAGGTTAAAGTTTATATTTGACAGTGGGAAGCCAAGTGGTCGCTGGCTGGCCTATACCCACCCCAACTGGTGATACCGGAGTTGAGGGGCCTGCCCTGTCTCCCTGCAGCGATGAGGAGGCATGTTAGCATCAACAGATTGTCACTGCTGGAGACAGGAGGACGAGAGTGTCACTGGCAGAGCTGTGGGTACCAGAGAAGGTCCCTGGGTAGGGAGTGGCAGGTTCTTGCATCTCCCCTAGCAGGGGCTGTGCCTCTCCGCGGCTCGCGCGGGAAGCACCGCTGGGCTGTGCGGACAGGGATTGCATGAGAAGCTCCCCTTGTGCAAGCTCCAGGCCCGTGCAGCGGCCGTGCAATGTGGGGGAGCAACCACGGTGCTGTCAGGGCACTGCGTGTGATGCCAATCCGAGGCCACCCGGGCCGCTCTGAGGAAAGCCTGGAGGCTTGGGTTGGCACACTAACTGTTGGCTCACCGTGTGGAGCCCTGTGGAGGATTTTGGAGCACAAAAGGCACAGGAAGAACGTGACAGTGCCCGAGCTGCTCATTGAGCATGTGGCTGGGGGCGGCTCTGCATGCTGAGCACCCACAGTCCTACACAAGTAGCCAGGTGTTCCCCAAATTTGGGGGAAGGTGTGATGTACGTGAGATGTGGCATTCAGCTGTAGGCAAAAGGAGATCCTCTGTCGCAGTGGAGGCTCAGCAGTGCTGATTGCTAACTGATGGGGGCGGAGGGAAATGAGGGGAATCTTCCAAAGCAGGGCTGCAAAGTGAGGAGACCATGGGGACATCCGTGTCCTTGGGCAGCAGGGGCACAGGCAGGAGGACCCAGCCTCAGGGCATGAACAGCAAGCAGGATAAGCCACCAGATAACACGGGGGAAAATGGGATAAAGCCTTGCTAAACATTGCACTCACCTCAAAATGGTCATCATCAGGATCACCGAGTCTGATCCTGATCACTCTAACTTGATGCATCAAGTCCGACACCTTGGGGGCAACAAGGGGGTAGTTAAATGCTGATTGGGAAAGTTCTGTGCCCACCAAAGGGTGAATTTTGGTTATGGCATGGTTGATCTCAGTTAAAGTGGGAGCTGCTCTGAACTGTGGATGCTTCTGGGGTTGTTTTTCTTCTTGCAGGAAATCCTGGGTGTCTGAAAGTTGAAATCCTTTCACTTGATGAGGTCACGAGGGGCTGGCCAGCAGCCAGGCACAGGGCTCCTGCGCAGCTCTGCCCACTCCTCTCTACGAGTCCATCACTTCCTCCAGGACACTTCTCTTGCCTATATTTCTGCACGCCGCGAGAAGAAGCTTAGATTTGCTCTTCTGGTCAGTGTTTGGCTTGCGCTATGCTTTGGGAAGGCCAGTAATGTCTTAAGACCTGTTGCAGCCTCTGAATATAAACCCCCCCTTTGTTGGGGGGAGGTTGGCTTGACTGAGCTGCATGATCAGGGTCAGGTGACAATTTTAGGCGCACAACACCAGAGGAGAATTAACAGTTGGGTGTAGGAGATTAGCTGCTGATCTTGCCTTTTAACAAGCTGTGTTTCTCAGGGAAAAATGAGTGCCTGGCCCTCTCCTCTGCTTTGGAGCTTAACCATGGCGTGTTTAACAGGTAAGTCCTCCTGAAGCAGTGTTTTTCTTTTCTGGCTGAGAATGAAGGTGGGTAAAACCATAATGTTTGTGAAAGCACGGGGCTTCACTGTCCTAGGGTGCTGTAGAAGGGCAGGGCAAGAGCTGGGGGGAAGGCAGGGAAGGAAATAAGTGTTGAAAGATAGGCAGTGTTGGAAGTGGGCTGAATATGGTAAACAGAAAAACTTACTTCTACAAGGGAAAAAAAAAAAAAAAAAGAAGGAAAAGTAGAGCCTTGTTACTCTGCACATTGAGGATTTGCAGTGGCCTCTTCATAGTTTTGTCATAAACACCAAGGAGCAGGATGCCCCACTATACGCACTTGCTTGGGGTGTTTTGGTAACTGGGTCTTTATAAGAGAACTAGCATATGTAAAAATGCCTAAATATTTTTGTGATCATGCCTCTGTCTGCTCCTCTCATTGTTCTTCTTAACTCTTTGTACTGTTTACCTATCAAAAAAAAAATCTGTGTTCTTACAGTTAACATTTTTGCTATATGGGATCTGCAAAACTCATTGCACTTCAGATCATGCACCCTCCAGGGCAAGACTGGCCCCGTGCAACTGGGGGAGCTCCTCGGGGTGAGGTGCTGCCCTGCTCCCTTCCCACTGCAGACCATCTGCATTCAGGGGGTCGGAGGCTGCCAGGGGCCCTGCAGCCACCTCCTTTTTTGGAGTATGAACCCATCAGCCCTGCTAGAACAGTTTGCATTTTACAGAGTTCCTTGGCAAGGGGCAAAGCTGCTCAGAGCAATTACCTGCTGAGCCTCATCTCAGCTGCATGTGTCCAGGGCAGCCTGGACACCTAATGAGGTACTAGCTGTAGTCTGGCACTCATGAAATTAAATAATTTGGGGAAACCCTCCATTTCAGGACCCAATTATTCACCTGCTGAATTCACCAAAGATGATTATTATCTTCACCTAGATCTGTAACTGTTGACTTGGTTGCATTTTATTTAGCTTGAAGGATTAGTTTTTTCAAAATGTCAGGCTGTGCAGTTGTGCGAGACAAAAGAAAAAAATAAAGGAGTATCTACCCTATTTCTGCATATTGTGAGTTCCCAGGTGGTGTCCATGCGCCTTACAAGTCTGCAGGGCTGCCTGCCTTCTAACTCAGGAAGGGTTAGCTCTGTAGTTGAGTTCAGTTACCTTCCTTGACATCTTCAAGGCTCTTGGAGTGAAACATTGTGCCAAGGCATCACACAAAATGACCTGTCCTTGCAGTGGCCCTGGAGATACTTTTATTGATTCACAGTGCCCCTAAAAACCCAAAAAGTCTCTAGAAAGCAAAATCACTGCTCCCTGGTGTAGACAGTGTAAGTGCAGGAGAGAAAACGGAGTGATGCATCTAAGGTTGGTTGAGTATTGTTTTTTCACATCTGTGATACTATAACTGGTAAAACAAGACATCATCACCCATTTTTACTAGTTGCTCAAAACTATTTTTTCCATCTTCACTCCTTTTTTTTTTCCTCCAGAAGTTGTTTAAATGAGTTTATAAAGTGCTTGCTACTAAAGGCTATTGATGGCTACTGGAGTTTTGCAAGCAACTCTTTAATGGATATTTTAGTAACACCGTATGAAAAGATATTTTCAATTAAAAAAAAAAAAAAAAGTCCATCTTAACAGTACCACCATTTAACACCAGAACCAGCCAACCAAGGAAAGCTTATGAAAAGGCAATATTAAACCAAAAAAATCTTTTAAAAAAACCCAAACAAACAACAAAATTCAGCCAGTTGTGTGCAGACCAAGGTGTTTAAATGTGCTGTGGTGCCTCTGGCTGGCAGAGCTGAGCGAATGTGTGGGAGAGGCTGCTCCGTGGGAGATCAGACTTTGATCCTAGTGGTCCTGAGAGCTTTTCCCAGGACAACTTAGTGATGCCCTTGACTTACTGCAAGTGCTTACTCTGAGATTAGCCTAATAAAAACTGGGACTGACTCATCTCGTTGCCAGGCACGAGGAAAGAGAAGCAAACTGACTTTAGCCCTTCAGACAGGTCAGTCGGATGAGGGAAACGAGGGAAACTGCATCTTCATCCTGGGCCAAGGCATGGCCAAGGTAGCAGTGTCCTCTGTGGGTGCTGCAGAGCTGCTCTCCCTGCCTAGGACTGGTAATTTGGGTTTGGGTCAAGCAGATATGCTACAAAATGATCACTGTTAAATTCAGTGTCTCTGTTTTGGTGGCTACAGCAAGAAAATGTGGGCAGCGGCCCAGACGGCTGGGTGCTTATCTCAATAGTTACAGAAAGATGGGGTTTTTTGCACTCAGCAGAATACAAAGCAGGCAGTATGCGATAGGAGGGAGCGCTCCCAACAAGCTCTCGCCATGTGATCCCAACTTTGTAAGGACTCTTTTATTCAGTGTCCTGATCTTGCTGGAGAAATTTAACTAGAGTTACTAGTCATCTGGGGCCTCATCTAGTTGTTTATACTATGGTGGTGCTAAGCACTGGTAACCACGGTGCCTGGCCTCGTGAGGTGTAGCCAAAATTGAGAGAGAAATCAAAGGCTGGAGGAGAAGCGGGCTTGGGCAAAAGCCTGCAGGGACCTGTGTCTGCAGCCACCTGGCACCTGTGCTGCTACCACTCGATGGTGCTGCCCCTCCGTGTCCCCAGCTTCTCACCCGGCTCGTGCCCTTCCTCATCCACATCCCGCCGTCAGGCATCGGCTGCGCTCTTTGGGCTCCTCAAAGCCCACCTGGCAATTTCTGAAAATAGTCCTTTCGCTTTCCGTGCCAATGGCCACCTGATTTCAGCAGGCCCTCTTGCTGTGGTGGCTCAGCAGATGTGTGCTGGTTGGAAGAGCGTGTAAATGCCATGTTGTCAGCCACAGTCACGTACCGATGCTGTATGAAGTTGGATATATTCGGAAGCTGCAGTTATTTTAGAGTAAATCCCTGCCCTGCGTTTCTGACCCAAGCTGATGTGACAGCTGCTGTGGCAGGAACTGGCTAGTTTGTTTTTGCTTTGCTCCCTTTGCTTAGTTCCACACTGCTAAATTAAAACCTACTTGCTACTTTTCATGTTTAGTTTTATGTGTTTCTCCTATGTTCGGAGACTGGAAGGCAACCCCTGTGCTTGTGTGCCAAGAGATGCCTTTCATCAGCAGACCTCATTTCAGTCCACTGTGTATCACAGCAAAACAACTTGAACTGCAGTAATACCCCTTTTTTATGAAGATTATAGCTGTCCCCGCTCTGATGGGGGCATTTCAGAATCCAAGTGAGTCTTGGCCCGAGGGTTCCCTTCTGGTTATTAGATGTATCTCCAGAACAGCTTAAAACAAAATCCCAAACCCATGACTTTTCTTTGCTGATCCCTTTAACGGAGATGGGATAAAACAGCCAGCTACTTGACAAGCATCTTAAATCAGATTGTTTAGAGATCTCAGGGTAAACTGTCTCAAGGAGCTGTTGCTAACAAAATTGAGTGCTTTGGGCAATTCTCACACCCTTTTATCTAGGTGAGTCAGACCTCCTGGACATTGGCATTTACTGAGTTGTGGCCCCATGGACCCACTAATTTATTTGCTTGACAAGTCTCTCGTGTGCCAGGGATGCTCAGATGCTGCCAATGTTTGCCTCCTTGATTCTGTATTGTTCTGTAATGGAACAGAGCAGAAGAGGATTTCTGGACATCAAACAAGGATACGTGAGCTAAGCAGTTAATAAAGACCTAATGGAAGCCTTCATTAAAGGGAGAACAATACTTTGGGCACTAATGATGTTTTTTGTTCTCCTAGGTATTGCTTTATGCCAGACAACCACCACCCAGGTCCCCGTTGCATCAACCCCAGCCCCTCCCAGTGCAACCACTACCGCGGCCTCTGCTCCCCTACCTGCCGCTGCAACGCTCTTGGCTGGAGTGGTGTCAACCACTGCAAACCTTGTCCTGACCACAGCAGCTCCATCTCCTGATCCAAGCACAAAAAAGCCTGCGCAGACTCTGCCTGCCACCACGGATGTGACCGTCCTCACCTCTGGCAGCACAGCCACCTCTCAAGCACCTACGGGACCGATGGCCACATCCACCAGCACCCCAGTGTCCCCTCCAGGGGTGACCGTGTCTCCGGGGGTCCCGTCAGCAGCTCCGTTCCTCACCACTGCCAAGCCCTCAAACTGCAGCAGGGTGAACGTGACAGCCTGTGCCCGCTGCTCCCCAGGGACGGTTCCCAACAAAGGTAAGGATCCCTGCTCACCCTGGCTCTCGCGTTAGGTGGCAAAGTGACTCGCCAAGGGAGGTGGAACCAGCACGTGTTCCTGTGCTGGACGCTCGGACAGGCAGCAGGAGTGGGAGTTAATTCATTGCACCTTTCGGAAGTTAAAGACTTGGCCTTTTCTGGCTTTGTGCTGTGTATTGGTCTCCCCAAGGGTTCCCCTGTAGCATGAAGAAGCAGCTGTGTTGTGACACGAAGTGTAACACAAGTGCAACCTGGTTTATTGGCAGGAGGGTGCCATTTTGAGGTACAGTGCCAAATATAAGGGTAGCTTCCAACTACCTGACTCGAATGTTTGAAAGAAAATCTCTGCTATAGAAGCAGCCTTTTCACTTGGGCCTGAGGAAGTACTCCATCAACCTCTGTTGTGGTCAGGAGTGCACAATACTTACTTCCCCCACTGCAGGGCACTTTTTAAAACAGGAATAAGCAGCTCTGATGCTTTAAGGTAGATCTGCAGAGGACAGGAGGTAATTCCCACCTCCCTTGTGAGGAGGATGTTCATCCACAGGGTCTTCTCCTCTTGCCCGTGCTTGGGTGCTGCATCACCAAGGACTGGTTCCTGCAAGAGTGGGCTGGCAGCTCTGAGGTGTGCAGCTACAGCAAATCCCACATGAGTACTCTGTGTGGCTTGGATCTGTTTTGTGGAGCAGAGAGGGCTAAAGCTTGTCTGGTGGGAATGCCATTGTACCTGTGCTCAAAGAAAAGCTGTTGCTGCTTAGGGCAAATCCTCTGCTCTAGGGTTTTACTCTTCAGTGCTGCTTCCCATAAGCCTAAAATATCAGTAATCGAAAGGAGTACATTGGGGTTTTATTCTTTTTTGTTTGTGTGTTGAAGGAAAAACAAGGAAAACCCTACTGGCCCCTCAAATTAAAAGAGAAAATGCAGTCATCTTAAATTACCAGAAATACACATTAATAGACTTGAGGCCTTAGACCATCTTATGGCTGTTCTTCAGCTTGCTAATGATGCACAGCAGCATTATTAGCATTAATATTACAGTTTCTACCCTCTAGGACTGTCTTGCTGGAGGGGTTGCATCACAACAGTTCTGCATTCGTGGCAGTGACCTGTCCTAATGACCATGGGGGGTTTAGGTTAAGTCTCGCAATCCTGATTCTGACTTTTTTGTTCCAATTTAGACACCTTGAGCTGCTCGTGCTGTGTGGGTGTCTCGTGCACAGACCCCAGTGCCTGCACCTCCTGCCCGCTGGGCCACTACCAGCCCGAAAGCGGGCAACCCTCCTGCCTGCCTTGTCCGCAGGGGCGTTACACCAAGTAAGTGACCGAGCTCCTGGGCGTGGGGTGGTGGATGAGCTTCCTCAAAACACTTCCCAGCTGGCAAAATCTCCTCCTTTGGGCCATAGGAAAAGTGCTGCCAGGGTTGTTTCTTGGTGGGAACCACAGGGTTTTGCATGCCCGAGAGAAAGAGCAGCTCAGGGCTTGCTGCCCCAGCACCCAGCCATGGTGCGAAGCACTCGGTGGCAGCAGCGAGAGGCTGTGTGCTCTCTAGCTTCTTGCGGGGCTTTGTGGCAAACTGGGTCAGGGGGCTCCTTGACTGCAAAGCCGAAATAGCTGCGTGCCTGTGAAACTAACCTACAAACAGTCCAAACTCTGGAGAAAGCCCCAGGCTGCCTTTGGTCTGCGCTTCAAACGAGCTCCCCGTGGGGCAGGTGGAGGTGGGGAGGTGCCTCTTCAGCACTGCTGAATTCTTCTCATCAGGAAACACTGGTGTGGATATCGTGTGCCAAGGGCTTCTCAGTGGTGGCTCCAGCTCTCTGCAGGCTGCTTTTTTTTTATTCCCCTCCCCCCCCCCCCCATGGTCTTTTGTATGCATTAGGAGGGGAATGTGCTTTTTTTTTTTTTTTTTTTTGTAATGAGGGGGATACTTGGGAGTGTCATGTGGGTTCATCTCCTCAACTTTTCTCTAGGATACCTTTGGCCAACTGGCTCCATCTCTGTGCTTTGCTCAGTTGCTTTCTCAATCTCTATTTTGTTGTCTCCAAGGGATCTCATTACATTTAAGTCACCAGCATCTAAAGCAAGGTACTTGGCTGTTATAGTGTGGAAAAGCTAGGATGGCATCCCAGCCAGAAGCCCAGCCTTGCAATTTCATCAGGCCACCTTGTCCCAGGGACACCGCACAAGTGTCCTCTGGCTGTGGGGACACACGCTTGTGCTGCTCTCACCATTTCCCATCGGGTTTTCCCTTGCTGCGTCCGACGTCTGTCGCAAACAACCGGTGGGGCTTTGTCCCTCGGGTGGCTGCAAGGACAGGAGGGGTGGTGAGAGCTTCCCAGGACCGTGTCCCTCACAGAGCGGCTCCATTCGGATCAGTCCTGGTGAGAGGGAACAAAACCTGGCTGCGGGGAAGGGTGACCTGACCGTGCAGTTTGTTTGCAGCAGCCCCTGAGTTTGAGGGGCCTTCGGCTTCCTCCTCCATCCTCCCACGCGTGCTCCCCCCTTGACGTTTGTGCTGTATGGACCTGCCTTAATTTATTTACCCACCAAGTGCTTTAAAAAAAATAAATCAGGAGCAGTCTCCAGAGCATCCGCGCAGATGCTGCTGTGGGGATGTTGGCGAGGGCAGTGCGGAGCCGGGGACCAGAAAGGGTCAGCGAACAGCGGCTGGGGGGGACGGGCAGAGGGGGGGATGCGGGGAGGGGAGGGGGCCCGGCGGGCGCAGCGTGTGCGTGGCCATCTCCGTGGCAGCTGCCCCAGCCTCGGGGCTGCGATGGGGTTGTTCAACATTTTTGCGGTATTTGGAGAATCCAGCATCCCCTGAGCTTTGGGCGGCTCTGGCTGGCGCAGGCCCTGTACTGCTTTGTTTTAAGCAAAGCATTTACTATGTTTCCAATTTAATTTTTTTTTTTTTTTTTTTTCACAAATCTTGCTCAGCCCTGGGGTTTCTGAAGGAATTAAAGAGCATGTCCTTGTTTTCCTCCAAAGCATCCCTGAGTACGTTAACAAATTCTTATACCCACATGCTTGTTGTTGGGGATTTGGCTCTGTTGGCAATGAATGCAATAGCTTTCCTCTTTCTCTGCCTCTCCCTCTTTTCCTCCCCCTCCTCCCGGAGGTCTAACGTATTACATCCCCTTTCCCACAGTCCCCGTTATTTAAGGTCAGGACTCTCACACATCACTGCCTATGGTTTAGCTCCTGACCTGACTTCAAACAATGGAGCAGCTTCTTTTAAAATTGCTGATGGATGCTGAACATCAAGCACCTTTCCAATTTAATTCAGTTTCCAATTGTGGATTTAAGAGCCTGACTTTAAACCAAGATTTTTAAGCCTGGTTACAATACATTTTTCAAGTCCCAGACTCAGACTGAGTTTCAGACTCAGAAACCTGTCCCCTTCCATGTAGCCCACCGGCACAGGATGTCTTTAGTGTTAATCACAGAATCATTTAGGTTGGAAAAGACCTTTAAGATCATGGAGTCCAACCATAAACCTAATACTGCCAAGTCCACCAGACTTGTGTAACAACACAGAAATTCTGTAATAATGCAGAAAACTTTATTTTTTCACTGGACCTTTAACATACGGGTGAGTTCAAGTTGTTTTTCTGCCTGAACTCCTTCGTTATAATTACCCTATTTCTAGACTTGTTAGTGAAACAAAGAATTGTGCTCTGCTCTCTCCTCTTAAAGTGGATAGAGGCTCGGGTGACCTAAAATAGCCCTCACCTCTGTTCCCTTCTCTCCTAGCCTCACAAGGAGCACCGCATGCCTTCCCTGCCCGCCTGGCCATTACGCTAATGAGTCCGGGGCTGCAGCCTGCAGAGCGTGTGAGAAAGGTAAGATTTGATTTGTATTCAACCCAAATGCATTTTCATCAGGCTATGCAATGCTTTTTCCCATGGCCAGATGCAATTACCAGGTAACTTAAAAGCACCGAAGAGTAAACAGGTTATTTTGTTCAGGCTAAAAATAGAATAGCTGATCTCTTCCCATTCTGTTATTGACATTTTTATTAAAATGAAAAGAATAGATCTCAAGAGTCATGCTTCTGTTTGCAACAAGCTAATAATGCTAACCCTGCATTGAAAGCCTTTTCCAGAAGGTCAGGAAAGAACGTTTATGCAATTTGGTTATAGCACAAGGGGGGAGGTGAGTGACAGGAAAATAAAGTATTCCCGTATTTTTAATGGCAAAAATGAGTCTAAACAATCTGTTCTCAGTTAGGTAATCTTCTGCAGTCTGAATATTAAGTGTAATACTCTCCTTATTCCCCAGACATTAAAAACAGGGTTTTCAAAGACCCACTTTGTACCTGGCTAATGCAATCTGAGCCTGGTACAATGTGTTCACAGACAGTGTAACAACATGTTCAAAACAGACTAGCATTTACTTATGCAGAAACCTAATTATCACATGCAATGCAGCAGCTATTCTGTACACAAATTAAGTGCTCCTCATACACGCACAACTGTTCTTTTGAAAATCTGCCCACCAAACCGTTTGGCTGGTGCCTAGATCTTGGCTATCACTTGCTAAATTTGGGAGGAAAAAAAGTCTAACTGGTGACAGCGCTGCCGTATGCCACTCCCTTCGCTCAGCAAATTTGAACACTGTGTTAGACCACAGGGGAGTCCGTGGGGGTGGTCCCTAAATCATGCAATTTTAAATTTTAAAAGTTCCTTTTTCCTTGTGGGGAGAGGGAGGTTTGTTTCCATCGTGCTCTGCCGCAGCCTCTGCTGCCTGTTGCACATCTGGGCCGGTTTGAAGGGCGCGAGGCAGATCTGACCCGCACCACTCCCCGCTCCAATCTGAACACGGGCACCTTGGCAATGCCCCATGTGCACCCACAGCCATGACCAGGGTCGTGCATCACCAGGCACCTGCCCAAAACCACCCGAACTCCTGAGTGGCGTCCTCCTGCCTTTAGAGGTTCCCGTTGGCACGTCAGGGACCCACAGGCTGGGTCCTGCCTGCCCCCCCCGCCCGCACCACGGGCATTTCAGGGCATTTCAGCTCTTACTGTGCTTTGGGGAAGGGTCTGTCCGTGTCCTCCTGCCCTTGGTGGCCTGGTGGCGGTGCAGGGAGGGAGGGCAAATGGCAGATTGCTGAACTGAGCCAAGTCGTCCTGGTCTGCGGGTCTTGTGTCCTTCCCTTTGGGGGGAAAGAGGTGAACCCCAGATTTCCTGGGGTGGGGGAACCCCTGGAGGGGCTGGGTGACCAGAGGGGTTTCCCCTGGCCAGAGACCAGCTCCAGCTGACTAACGCAGGAGTCAGGACTGGGATCATCATTTTTACCTTCGTTCTAGTTCAACTGGGAAGGTTGATGGGTCTCTCTGTCTCCCTGGAGGGGTTTGGGATGTGAGAGTGACACAAGGGAAATTTGTCTGGCCCCCCCCCCCCCCCCTCACTTCCCTAAGCATGGCAGAGGTTGATTCGGAAACTTTTATCACTCTTTCAGGGCTTTTGACATATAGAAAACATCCTGAATTAGCCCATGAAATGCCACCTGACAAGAGCTGTGGGGAGTTGATTTGGTTGCTTGGAAAATGGAGATGAGCAAATGTACAGCGATGTGGGACAGTGATGGTGGAGGAAAGGTCCCAAAGCCTTACTCTTCTCTTTTTCAGGCTATTTTAGCTCCAAGCAAAATGCAGCTTTTTGTCTGCCTTGCCTGCCTGGATCATTTTGCAAGTAAGTAGTTGTGATGCTGGCTGTCAGGAGGACAGGGAGGGGTGGTTTTCTTTCAGCCACGGAGCTAGAAGGCTGGATGTAGTGGCCAAAGGCAATTCACCTGCCACTTCAGCTGTAGGGACAGTGGTGCTGAGCCCTGGTGAGAGCGGGATGGTGCGGTGGAGGGGAGGATCCCAGCTGGATGTGGAGGTTCCCTGGAATGAGGTGGTAGAGCGTGGGCATTGCACATCCCTGCTAAACACACAGATGCTGGCACAGGGATTGAGTGGACTGTCGCTCCGGGTCTTGCAGATTTAAGCTGAGCTGATGGTTTGTTTATCCTGAGTCCAGATGTGCACAAGGCAGTAGCTAAGCTACCCTGGCTGAGCTGTCGCCTCCAGGGTGGGGGAGAGGGCCTGGGAGAGGTGCTGGCGGGGGACCCCGCTGTGTCGGGATGCCTGCACGGAGGCTGTGGGGTTTATAACCAAAGCAGGTGAATTGGCACGTGAATACTTACCTTCCTTCTGACCCCCCCCGAGCTTGCTTGTCCCATGTCATGCAGCAGATCTCTGGTGAACCTTGATTGAATTGAGACAAGACTGGACACAGGGCTTACCCAGATGTATCACAGGTGTTTCTCCCAATGCCCCTCGGTAGCCGTGGACCAGTTCTAGCCAAGTTTGCTAAGGAATACTGACTTCTGGGAGAGCAACTTCCCACAGGTTTCATGTAAATAAGCAACCGAAGGGAGGACAGAAATGCTATTGTGTGCCCAGCCCATAATTAGACACGCAAGAAACCGCACTGGAGAGAGACACTGCGAGTACCCACAAAATGGCAAAAGCCTAGCTGCTGGTAGAGCCTGGAGACTTCAGACTGGGCACATGTAAGAGAGCTGGCTTTGGTGGGCTGGGCTGGTCTTGGAAGTGCTCGTCCTACAGTGTCGCCTGCCTCCTCTCCCCTCCCCAGCACCACCAGCTGCACGGAGTGTTTGCCTTGTCCTGGGGGGCAAGAGGCTCTGCAGGAGGCATCGGGGGACTGCACGCCTTGCTCGCCAGGTAATTTCTGCGCCAGTCCAGCTGGGAACGTGCGGCACCAGGAGGAGGGATTCAATCCTGAGACTCGTCTCATCTGACCCAGAGGACGTGGCTCCCTGCCCGCACGAATGCCCCGGCTGACATCTGCAGAGAAAAAACATTGACCTCGCAGCGACTGGGAAGGTGCTGGTTGGCCCTTCTTGGCCTGCTAGGACCTGCTGTTGGAGGCTCTGCCCATGCCACACCCTCCTGCCAGCAGGGTTAATGGTTTGGAGGAGGGCTGGTCACCCGCACACCAGGGCTGCCGAAAGCCGCGGCCAGATACAGTTCTAGCAAAAAAATAACCACCATCAGTGGTAGTTGCTTTGCCGATGAAACCACAGACTTGCTAGCAGGTTGGGGGTTGCTCTGCACCCAGCGAGTTAGCCTGAGGCAGAGGAGACAGTCACTGAGGAGATGACTGCTCCTCGCATCGCTGTCTTAAATAATCTCCGGGTGAGCCCGCGGCAGGGTGGCGAGGTCCGGCCGCCCAGGCTCCGCTCTGGAGACAGCGCCAGGGATTTCTGGCTGTCAAGTTGCTTTTTAAACACGCAGAGAAGCACTTCCCCCCTTTGAGACCCAGGACTTCTGTGACCCCTCGTTCCCGCAAAGGCTAGGAAACTGAGCTGGGCTTTAAACTTTGCTCAGCAAGTTTCAAACAGCTGGAAAGAGGCGTTTGAATCCAGAATTAGAGAGGACGAAACTCTGCTGACCTCCAGCTCCAATCCTCCTTCTGCTTTAAAGCCAGAGCTCACTACTAATCACAACTCCCACCGTACTCCTACTCACACTTACTCTGTTTGCCAAGATCTAACCCCACGTATCCCCTTCAGTCCCTCTGTCCCTGTTTGTTCTCTGTCCTGCCCCTTTGCCACCCAGCAAGTCCAGGCTCAGCTTTTGTTATGCACATGAAGGATTTAATGGTCTTTCCCCTTGTGGCTCTGAAAGCTGAATCATCCATATGCAACTGCAAAGGCCCCGGGGTCTAGCCCCAGATCTTAATTTTGTGCTTATTTGCTATTTTAGGTACGTTCAAAGGTCTCGGTGACAACAACTGCAAGCTCTGCAGGACAGGAGAATACCAATTACAGTGGGGCAAGGAGAGCTGTGAGCTGTGCCCAGAAAATCACTACTGTCCTGTGAGTCTCCATCAGCTGTTTTGACAGCCTGGATTAACAAATAAAGCTGTCCCATGACAAGCTAAATACACTGCTATTAACACCATTTTTATCTAAGCCTCTTTCCTTTTCTTACACATTGAGCCCTGATGGAGACAGTTAACATTATGACACCAGGAGCCTGGTTTGTGCTGCCCAGTCTCCCTGGGCCATCAGGGGAACATCAGAGTATGGTACGTCCAGTAACGAGGGGGTTTGATGTATGGACATGCTGTACAATGACACCTCTGCTCTTCACCCTCCTCTGAGTAACACCACTGGGACGTTTAATGATGACAGGTTTACTTCTTGGTTATTGTTCTTCTGTTTTTATAATGCTGAAATGTCACCTCCCATCACATCAGTTACCTTCTGCGCTCTTCTTCATCCGCTGGTGCTGAGTTACTTTTTCTCTTGGGCAGAGCCCAGATGTGAACCCGGTCAAGTGCCCCCCTGATGCCTTCTGCCCCGCGGGCAGCGCTGCGCCGGCGTACTGCATGGAGCTCTTTCTCTACAAGGCAGGAGACTCCTGCCAGCTGACTCCCCTGATGGTCATTCTCCTGGCCATCTTCTCAGCAGGTAAGCATCGGTCTTCTCTGTCCTCTGGTAAAACCAGACACTCCTCTGCTGCTGGGTGTCTTCGTGTTATACCGAGTGTTCTCTGAATGGTGTATTTGATGTTTCTGGAAGCCTGGATTTCTAATAAAGGTCTTTCTGGCTGCTTTCGATGCAAATGATCATCCTTTCCCCATTTGTAAGTAGGGATAGGGCTGTATTTGCTCTGAAGCTAGCATAATGTGTATTTGTCGCTTGTCCTGGGGAAGCAGGTGTGTGTATGGACTCCAAAACAGCAACTTCTCAGCTGCCCCAGAAGTAGGAAAAAGGACAATTTCCTTTCAGCACGAGACCGTTTCCTAAAAGCTTTCCCCTCCTGTAACTCTTGCTGCAGCACCCAGCGGGCCGGGGTGCTGTCAGCGGGTGCAGCGTGGGTCGTGTCGATGTGCCGATGCTGTTGTGCACCTTGGAGCCAACAGTGACAGACAACCAGCACCTACTGAGCACGGGGAGCATCCCTCATGCCCCCTGTTAGCCGACCTCACGCTACCAGTTAGCTCATCAGGGCAAGCCAGGGGGTGGATGAGCTTTTCCACCTGGAAGCTACAGGGTGACTACTCCTTCCAAAACAATAAATATGCATTTGTAGTCTTAGCAGAGGGAAAAACAAGAGTTCTGTAGTTTTTAATCAAACTTGGGGGGATGTTTAATCAGAGATAACAGCTAGGATGCAAATGAGCAACCGCTACTGCTATGGATTGCTAAAAGGGCAGATGAGCAAGCTGGGAAGAGGGACTCCTCTCATGTGCCCAGGCAGATGAACTTATCCCCCCAGCTCTCTTGACACAACATTTTAATCTCTAAGTCATAGAGATGACTAAGTCATCAGAGGATAAAGAATTATAGCCTGATATCCATGGGTTTCTGTTTTTTAAGCGCAACGAGTATGTGCCTCACGGAGACCCATTCTCCAGTCCAGCTCCCTGTTGTTAAAAGGCAGGGGGAGAGAAAATAGCAGTGTTACTACCCGCAATGAACAAGAGAAAGCAAAGCTGCTTCTCCAACAACAAAGCAGGGTTAGTTGTTCTCATCAAACTCCTCTCTTGGCACCTGGGGAGAGAACTCCACGGATGCATAGGAGGAGAAAAGTGCAGCAGGGTCCGGAGGAGCTGTAGCTGTAGCAGCACTAACTGACTGGTGGTCTCTGGAGGGCTGAAATGTCCTGGTGGGAGCTGACAAGGGTCGTTCTTACAAGCTGCGGCTTGGAACCGCGTGAAAGCTCCTCTACTGGCCCATATCCCCTCGTGCCAGGCTGTAGTCCAAAAATCTGCCAAAACAGATGCCATCTGAAGCAAGTATTAATTAGAAAAAGCAGATTAAAATGAAGTGTATGAAAAGCCTGCCCACACAGGGACAACGGCCCATTAACCGGTTTTTCTGATAAACAAGTCTGAGGGTCACAGAACAGCATTCCTCAGTGAAGTCCTGCCTGTCACAGAGCTTGCTCCAAAAGGGGTAAAGGAAACAGCCCACACAGGAACCTGCAAGTATTTCACGCCTGGTCTAACAGATCAATTGTTTACCATGAGACTGTCTGCTCACACAACCTAAATTTGGATGTATTTGTCTGGCCATATTGCATCACAGCGACAGATTTGTGCTCTTCTGTTAAGATCAATTTTCCCTGATTATACTTCTGCCAGAAACAAACAAACAGAATGTCACAGTACTTGATATTTGCCAGTTATTTCCATGTCTATGCCCAATCTAAAAGTAATTTTTTCTGACAGACCTGATCTCAGTCTAGACTCAAAGTTAATCTAGGTCAGTTACTTCTTGTGATTTAGAGTAAACTCATTTCTCAACAAGATCCTTCCGTGGGATCAGCAATGGGTAAGAGGCCAAGTGGAAAATACTAGTTCCACAGAGCAGAGAACAAATGGGAACAGGAAAGCAAGTTACTGAATTATTTCATTAAAACTCGCTGTTATTTGCCACAGCTTCCAGAGTAAAGCTGAAATGCCAAACTTGAATATTTATTACCACAGCTAGCCAAGTCTTTTTTTTTTTGTGCAGATTATGTAGGAGAAAAAAGCCCTTAATTTACCGGAAGAGAATTCTTGAGAAGCTCTAGAGCAATCATCACCCGAGACTTTACCTTCCCATCCAAAAATAACTACTCTGCCTTACCTTCCAGGTGGAATCCTTGCTGTCTTTCTAATAATTCTGAGAAGAAGGCAAGAATATAGCAAGAAATCATTAAAGTCTCTATTGCTACCCCGAGACTCAAGAAGAAACACAACTTATGGGGGGACTGAGCACACAGAACCAGTCTATGCTGGCTGGTAGCGTAGGACATGCCATCAGCAAGCACCTTCTTCTTTTTTCCATGGGACAATACAGATGAGGTGTATAAGGAAAATGTTTAACCATGAACAACATATTTCTGTAGAGCTAAAATAAGTGCAGAGAAATAAAACTCAATTTCTGAGTTATGGCTACTTGTGCTAACCAACCGAGCTGCCCTGCTGTACTGAAACGGACCGAGGGGAAAAATCTCCCTCTGCAATTCCTGGTTTCATTTACAAATAAATATTTTTTCTCCTTTCCTCAGGAAAGAACCCCAACAAACAATTATATGTGTGTCTTTCCAGTCAGCTGAACAAACTGAGTGAGGATCAACTGTTCCAGTTATTAAGGTTCTTGTCATACAATAATCACTTCCACCTGAGCAGGAACTACCATGAATATGTTTCCTTTAAAGAATATGCACTTTATTTTTTTCCTATTCTCAAAACTGTACCATTACTCTAAGCAAGGGTAGGTCAAGGGAAGGGATCCCCCAAATCTTTCTTCTTCCTCTCAGCTGAGGGAAAACAGGTGCAACTAAAATAATGGTTGATTCCTGGACAAACAGGTCCCTTTTTTTTCCTGCTGTAAATGGTGCTTCATATTAGTTACAAAAGCAACTCAAATCTTCCAGCAAACCTCACAGGAGTTGTTTCTTGCTCCAAGCCATAGCAGTAAGACATGAAACTGTGTGAATCCTTTGGAGTCGAACGGAGCAGCATGCTGCAGCCACAGAAGACAGCTTGCACACTTTTGCATGCCTTCGTGTGCCTGTACTAGACCCATCGCTTAAATGCCTCTGCAGGGTTCCTGCCCTGATCCCTGTCACTCGGATTCATCCCCCACGCATGAGAGCAGCACGTGTGGTTTGTACCTGTTCTCCCTATATGGGCCTGTGGCACCCCAAACTTTCCTGCACGGCTGGCCCAGTTCAACCATCTGGTTAAATCGATGCAATTTGTGTTTTACAGGGCTGATTTCAAACTGTGTAGGTGTTTGTGTGGCTGGTTAACTCTTCTCTTTTTAAACTTGCTTGCTGTATTTTCCCTGTTGTGGTTTTTCTCACAGTGATGCTTAGGCTTTCTGCACCTGGTTCTCATGGCCATTTGAGGACTCACCAGTGTACCAGGCACACAGAAACGCCCATCGACTGCAATGGAGACAGCTTCAGCTGCTCCATGAAATCAGTATCTGGGGTCTCTTAACCTTCACAGCTTGTTGCCTCCCACCTCCTGCAGCAAAATTCATGCATATGGTAGGTGTGCTGCGTAACCCCAGACAGACTAGCCAGCTGTGACCCTTCGTCACAGCACTGTGCTTTACCAGCTCTACAACCACTAGTAAAAACAGTATCTACTATTAAAAGATCTATGCTTTTAAACGAATGTGCACTGAGGTGGAAGCAGGTGTTAGTTCTCACATTCATCTCTTCACTGGGACAATGCAGCACCAGAGTCAGCTGAAGTAACTCAGCTGCTGGAGGGTTAAGTGGTTACTGCCCTCAGCTGCTCAGTCTCCTCTCCCCTGCGGAGGTGTTATTGTGTTTTAAAAAAAAAAAAAAACAAAACCAAACACCAACAAAAAAACAGTTCTCCATCTCTCTCAACTATGTCAGATGAATAAATGGATGGGAAGAGAGATAACATGGTCCTTTGTGGTCGGGCAGGTTGCCCAGAGCAGCTGTGGCTGCCCCCTCCCTGGAAGGGTTCAAGGCCAGGTTGGACGGGGCTGGGAGCAACCTGGGCTGGGGGAAGGGGGCCCTGCCCATGGCAGGGGGATGAGAGCTACATGATCTTTAAAGATCCCTTCCAACCCAAACCATTCTATGATTCTAATCTGGATCAGCAGCAACTTGGGTAGTACCTATAACCATACCCCAAACCCCACTGCACAGCACAGGCAGAGCTCGCCACATCTTCCCTGACACCCCTCACACTGCCAATTTATATTAGACAGGCCTTAAGTTTCTCAACTGGCCAAAAATTGTGGCTTTTCACAGAAGCAGCAAAAGGACACAATCCTCATGCACAGCACCAGAGGACCTCAGTAGAACAGTAATCCATTAGTATCAAAACGATTTTCTGAAATGCTCTTAAAAAAAAAATGCAGCTGCTGTCAGACACGGGAGCTTCCACTCTTGAAGACAAACCAGGCCCAAAGAAAAACCCAGCTGGAAAAGCAAAACAGCCAAATTCAGACCTGACCAAGCAGGAACAGCACCAGTGACTGACAAACGAACCCAAGGGAACAGAACTGGTAGAACTGCATGACTCCAGCTCAAAGTCATTACAGCCTGTAAAATCATAAGCAACAGAAACCATCACTGTAACAGGAAAACCTATGCTGCAAAAAAGTGTCAATATTTTTGTGATAAGCAATGCTGTGAAAAGAAGCCAAAGCACAATCGTTCTCACCTCCATAAAAACTTAAAACATTATTTCCACAGAGTCTCTTAGAAGTCTTGGAGTGTAAGTTTTCACTATGGAAGAAGAACATCCAGCTCCCTCACTGCCAAATCACACTTGCTTAGTATGTATAATCTCACCTTTTTCTTCTTAAAAAATCCCAAACAATTGGTGCAGAAATAACTATATAGATCTCTTTTACAAAAAAAAAAAAAAAAAAAAAAAGAATTAGCAACTTCTTAAATAACTAGGAATAAATTTTAATATTTAATAAGACAATGAAGTTTCTCAAGCAGTCAGGCATGGAATAATGTGACTCAACAATGTGGAAAAATCCCATTAATATGTCTTTTAAGATATTTCGATTCTCCAAGTAATTAAAATTAAAAAAACCCAAAACTAAAAACTGACCATGAACACAAAGCTATTGAACAAAACAGACATTTAATTGGATTATTCTGCCTAGATTGTATGAAAATACATCTAACATATTCAATTGAAAATTTTTTCCATGCTTGCTCATGTGATAAAACAACGACAAATTTTGAATTTGGCTATCATGTACCAGCTTTGAAGAGTTTGCTGGAAAAGGAAAGACATCTTTCTACTTCAATGGGCAAGACACTAAGTACATAATTTAATGCCACATAATATGCCATACTTAGATGTTATTTAGATTAATTTATAACAGAAAATCTTTTAAGTTACTGAATGCCAAAATGTATTGAGTTGCATCATGAGAAAGCTTAATTTTTCAAGATTGTTTTCCCTTGTATTTGAACAGTGGGAGAAGGAAAACAGTGAAACAACTTTTCTTTTGTTGTCTTTTTTTAACAAAACTTCAGCCTATTTTCCCAGTGCTGCAGAGTAACGTACAGAAGCCTTCATTAAAAGACACTGAAAACCCACCTTTCCTCATTCAGAAACAAAAATTTTACCAGATCATCACCTGAGTGACTTAGCTGAGCTCGTGGGGTTACATGGTCAGTACATATTATGGGAGGACATGATCCACATTTCTTTTAAAGATCCATCTCCAAAGTATGTGATCAGCAGAAGGAATGAATTCCTAGCAACTCAAAAGCAAACCCCTAGTTTGCAGTCTCACTGATGCAAGCCTTCATTGGCCCAAAGAGCTGAGTAGTAAAGAGCAGAGAAGAGGTAGAAGGAAGCAGAAAGTCAAACAGCCACTTGCTAAGATCTGTTTGAGTAAATTTAACGTTACGAAAAGAGTGCTGAGAGGGACTGCTTTGAACGCCAAAGTCTTTATTTACCCACAGACAGATACAAAATGGGTGGCTGTCCTGCATTCTGCCATACTCAATGTGCTTGTGAGCCCACCTGAGAAGGCAGGCAGGGAGTTGCAGGCTCCATGACTGATCTTAAAATGGATGGTGTTACTGCAGCAGTGACAATCAGTAACCATCTGAGATGGTGGCTTCTGGAAGTGGGTATCTGCCTCTTTAGGACCTGGGGCATAACTGTTCCGGGGTGCCAGAGCTGTTACACCTATATATGAAGAGGAAAACGCAACAAAACAACTAAAAAATTAACAAATTATAAAAGCAATGGAATGTAAAGGTAAAATTTTATAATAACTTATTTAAAGGTATTCTTATAAAGCCTTCCTTACATGGTATAGTATTCAAAGAATGGTCCCAATGACATCAAATTCCTTCATTTTGTTTAAAAGCAATAAGGAAAATCTTTCTGCTTTACTACCTGTTCCCACTTTCTTCCCCTCAAAAACTAGTATTAGAGAAACATACGTAATACCATTTTTTGGTTTTGATTTTAGGCACAGGCCTATGCTTCAGTCCTAGTATAACAAATATCTATAGCAGAGGGAAAGTTTCCCTCAAAATCAATTAAGAAATCTTGATTTTTAGCTTGAGTGCACGGCTTGGCATACCACTTTAAAAAATGCAAACATGTAACACTTCCCCCTGTTTTAAACTGTGCTATTTTTTCAAAATTATTTGAAAAAATTAACCTTCCAACAGTGTTTATAAAAATTGATTCAAGGAACAAAGCAGTTTGGCCACAAAATAGAAACCAGAGTTCAGGATAGGGCAGCGCTACATTTAAAACCTTTTTCAATTAATATCTTCTAATAAAACCAATAGTTTTTACGTGTTGGGAACAAATGGGGATTTTGATAATTCCAAAAACTAAATCTGCAATCAAATCCTGAAGAAATACTTTGGAAAAAAACATACACTTTCATGATATAGCAAGGCTTCATTTTCAAAAGGGCTACACAGAGTTTCTGCACTATTAAAGGCAAACTAAGCTAGAACGTACACAAATTACTAAATGGACATGAAGGCGCACATTGTGTTTACATAGGCTAGATAACAATGGCACAAGTCAAAACTTACTTGTTACACTGCCTAATCACACACCAATGACATGCACTGGGAAGAAACCAGGTAAAGACATTTTTCTTTACCATTTTTTCCTAGTTCTAATATTATTTCCATCAATACTATATCTTGTATACTCATTGCAAGTGTGAGAACCTAATGGGAGCAAAGAATTCAGAACAGCTTTGCCAACACAACAAAGTGGCGATAGTCGAGAGCAGAGCTCCTAAAAAAGCAAAGAATAATTTTAGTCTGCCAAGTCAAGTAGCCAGTTTTATACAAACTTTATCAAAAGGAACAGTGTCAGGCTAAATTTCATATTAAAACTGTTCCTTATGCACTTCTTCAAAAATCTGTTTCACTTTTAATTAGTTGTTTTGAATTTAGTTTTTGCACTTCAGTCAAGTTTCAATTTCTGTTTCATTCATGTTGTTTTCTTTTTTTTTTGTTCCTTGTTGGGCATTTTTTGCCTTATCACAAAGTTGTAATACTTGAACTCCAAGCATTCCAA